GATTTTAAATGAAAGTTTATTTTTTTTTTAACTTATTTTCTTTATGGTGAAAGGCACTTCTCTGGAGATAGTTTAAGGGTTTTGGCATCATCAAAAAGGGGGAAATTGTAAGGAATAAATGTAATTAGATTTTGATGATGCTATAGGATTAGAAAGATAGAGTACCCCCCAAATTAGATTTTATGTATTAGAATTTTCAATTGTAAGTATTAGTGTAGTCGACGATCAGAGTTGCTCTATTTTGGATCAGATCAGAAGTGCATCAGAACTGCTCGACCAGACTTGCCCTATGAGAACTGCCCCATCAGAGTTCTCTTAGCAGAAGTCCATCAGAGTTGCACCATGAGAGTTGCTGATAAACTTGGACATCTGATAACCGATGAGAACCACAAATCAAAGGTACTCATCAGCGGATAAATCAGAGTCAGAGTTAGAGCTCTATCCGAGATCAGAAAGCCATCAGAACTCAACTCATCAGAAAGCCATCAGTTTTCAATACTTCAGAAGAGCCTGATCAGAGCCCGACTAACACTTAGAAGATTTCAAGCAACATCCAACAGCTATGAATCCAACGGGTAAAACATCCAACGGCTAGAAGACTGTGCATGAAAGGAAAGCATTTAATGCACATTAAATGAGCCTGATACGCTGAAGGATTGATTGCAAATGATTGACCAAGGAATCCGGGAAGATATATTATAAAAATAGAAACCTTCCAAAACGGCGGTCAAGTCAACTGTACGCGCATTTAATGCAGTTGTCTCCTCCTCCAACGGGCAGACAACCCCAGTATATAAGCTACTCACCGAAGAACAGGGATATAACTTCGCTACAACTTTTGCTCATCAAATTTTCAAGCTCTCTTGAGATTCAAACTCCACAACACAAGAACAAGAAAAAGCTTACGTTGGGAAGATTCAATCTCACAATCTCTCATCCCCAATAAGAGCAAAGTTCATCCTGTTCTTCAACACTTCAAGAACTTCAACTACATATCATTTGTGACGAAGCAAGTTGGAGGAAAAACTCTGTTTTTCAAAGGATCTTCTGAAAAGAAGGGCGTCCAAGTAACTGCAGTAGTGAAGTGGTGATACTTCCGGGAAGCTGAGTGAAAGGGCCAGCCATCAGGACGTGGAACTGCATCCTGGGTGGCAACTAGGCTTGAAGAAGGCGTGGAGAACTTCTTAAGTGCTAGGAATTAGCTTTGTAACCGATCTACTTCAAAGCTAGTGGAACAGTGGACTAGAGGAACGAGTTGTTCCTTGAACCACTATAAAAATATCCGGTGTCATTTACTTTACTGCTATTTATATTTCTGCACTTAGGATATTAACTGATTAACTCTAAAACTTGGAATCTGTGTTCAGCAGACCTTGTTTTCAGAGTTATCAGAAAGGCATTTGCCTTAGTGTTTCTGAGGCTACCCGGACAGATCAGAATCCGTTGCCAAGGCCGGTTCTGATATCAGAACCAGCCTTTCTCTGTCATCAGAATCAGACCTTCTCTGATAAGTCAATTTGGACTTGGAGAAAATTTGAAAAACCAACCAGTCTATTCACCCCCCCTCTAGACTGGTTACCATATTAAACGGGACCAACAACGTGCATTACGAAAAAAAGTAGAAAAAGAATTTCACGCTGATGCTAGTTCGTTAGCAAAAACAATTCCTTGTGTTTCATCATTTGAAATGGAAGAACAAGTCCAACAAATTTACACCCTAGCTAAATTCAAGGAGTTTCAAGATGAACTTGTAGGTCTTTTGTATTGTGATCTAATACAAAGCGAAGGAGATAGAAAATTTCATGTTAAGGAGGTCCGAAAGATAAATGGGTTTCGAAAGACAATTGACTTTGTTGTTGAATATGACCCATTAACTACATTTGGAATATGTAGTTGTCATTTGTTTGAATTTAGGGGTATTGTATGTAGACACTTGATTGTGGTCTTACGTCGGCTTGGATTGGATTTCTTACCCGATATTTACCTATTGCAAAGATGGAGGAAAGATGTTAAAAGAGCTTACACAAAGGTGAAAATAAATTATGATGGGTGGATCACAACGGTGGAACAAGAACGATTTAATAAGTTGTGCAAGACTTTTGAATCACTTGCAAATATGATTGCGGATGATGAAGAGAAGTACCAAAGTGTTCTAAATTGGTTGTAGACTCAATTGTCGACATATACTCCTCCCCAAGCTCCTCGGTCTTCCATATGTGGCAACCTAACATCTACCCCACAACCGAGTAGTCATGTGCAATGTGAGGTTCCAAAAAACATAGGAGATCCTAAGTGTGTAAAGCGCAAGGGTGCTCCGAGGAAAAACCGTCAAAAAGGTCCATTGGAGAAGGGGAAAAAGAAATCGGGGGCTAGGAATGACACTGGAAGTGCCCCACAAGCTAGCGCTGACCATTGCAATGCACAGGAAGATCGTAATGACATGAAGAACTATTGTTGTTTAGATTTAAATCTTAGTTTGATGTAAATGTGCATGCATGTTAGTTCACAGACATTTATGTAATACGTCACAAACAAACTTGTTGGTCTTCACAAACAAAGAGGTGTTTGTGGGCAATTTTTTTGTGTGTTTCAGAAATGTATTTTTTTGTAATGTCTGTTTTTAAAACACAAATCACAGACAAGTACGACACAAATGACTGACAAAATCGTATTATAGCACAAACACATTAGACAATGGGTTAGATATACTACTATTTAATCAACTACGAAGTATAAAACAAGTAAAGTTTTTATTAATCACATTCAACAACTTGTATTTATTAATTGTTAGAAATATTAATTTTAAAGTTTAAATTTTTAAACTCTCCAAATAAGTCTTTTTTTAGACAAATCTTCACAATTATTTATTTAAATGACATTAGTTTTCGAAAAAAAAACTTGTATACATGCATATGAAAATTGTTTAGTAGTTATAACTACTTCGAAAACTAAGTCGATATAAGTAATTAGTTATTATACTATAAAAGAATTACAGTGTTCATTTTATAATCTATATCTTCTACTAGGGGTGAGTTCGGTTCTTGCGGTTCGGTTTTGACCTAAAACCAAATATAGAATCAAAGTAAAAAGTTTGGTTCGGTTTCGATTCGGTTTTACACTCCAAAACTTGGAACCACGGTTTGATTGGTTCGATTTGTTTCGATTCGGTTTCGGTTTTTCGGTTTCTTACCAAAGATTATCATTTGATTTAAAATTGATATAATACTTTGAGGGATCAAACATATATTACATAAACAATGCAAGCACACTACACCAAATAAAATAAAAATGAAAATAAATAAATATGTCTTGAATTAAATGAGTTTGCAAGAGATATAAAAGTATATACTATCGTATATTATTAATTTACATTGTTTGTGACTAGTTCAAAAAAAGTTGAGATAAATATTTATTGTTTCATCAATATGAATTTTTTAAGTTAAATAAAAATAAAAGTTAATTAATACTAATAACTAGTAAGAACATATTATTATCATTCAGTGTGGCTACATTATTACGGGCAATGGGCAATGAATATGTAAATAAATTTAAACCAAACTGAACATAACACAAACATTATTTTTCTAGCACAAGAAAACCAAAGACTATAAATGATATTAGGATTAGTTAGGATTAATGCTTAAATATTGACAAATAAATTTTATATTTTAATTAGTTCGGTTTGTTCGATTCGGTTCGGTTTTGAAGGGTAAAAACCAAAACCGAACCAAACAACTACGGTTCGGTTCGGTTTTTTACATTCGGTTTCGGTTTGTTAGCGGTTCGGTTTTATTTGGCTACGGTTCGGTATGATTTGATTCGGTTTTCGGTTTTCAGTTTTTCGGACCCAGCCCTATCTTCTACTTATCAATTTAGTGACCAATTTTTTTATACTGACACCAAAAACAACAATTCTTTGCCACAAAAACAAAAGCCATACCAATTCCCTGAAGTTTAATAATATATACAAATTCAGTTGCTTGCAAAAAAAATTAGCAAAATCAAATGTATATAGTAAGGTTACATAAATGTTTTACAATGACAACCACCCTAGAATAAACATCCTGACCCAAACTTCGCAGCCATGTTCTCATACGCACACTCGGGCAGCAATGGCAAGTTCTGCAAGAGTGCTTCGGCAAAGGCCATAACCATGACGCCGCAAACACCGGATCTGGACACAAAAGAATTAATACAAACATTACATTTACATGCACAGACAAACTCTATTTGTGTACAGACAAAATAATATTCACAGCACATGAATGTACCCGGGTTGCTGTTGTGGAACATTGTCCACTGCCTCCGCTCTCCAAGGCTTTGAATCTGTTGTGGCACTAAGAGCAGGGTTGCATTTTATGACTCGAAACAGGTGTGGAAGTCTCACACACAACAACCTCACAAATCCAACTAACCTACGGGTCTTCATAGAATCGTATACCCGTACGACTCTATTGACAAGATCAATTTCAGACAGCACCCAGTGTTTTCCATCACTGTGCAATGGCATGAACACCTGCACATGCAATAAAGTAGTTAAGATATTAGTGAACATAGTATGTATTGACAAGGTATGTATTCTTTCAGTAGGCACCCTTTTTTCAAAAGATTACTGGTAGGCCACTGTAGTATATGTAAAATAGTAGTGTACATCTACATGTGTTAGAACTATAGTAGTTATAAAGTAGTTATTATTTTGCATTAATAGGTACGTAATTATATATAAATTACTTAATATTTTATTATTTAGGAGACAAATCTTATTATACCGGCTCCAGTCCATTTTGTTAAGCAATCGATCCCCACTCCATTGTGAATCGTCAGCTATATTCTTCCGTAAAAGTTGGTACTACACCAAAAACAAAATTACAGACAAAACAAGTATTAAACAGACAATACTTTATCATTGCACAGCCAAGTAAAGTTCATAAGCACAGACACAATTTAAACTTTTAATCACTTACCGCGAACAAAGGACTCAAGAGTTCATAGGCCTCGGCGTGTATGCATTCGCGAAACAGAAGAACAAGTGCATCCAAATGCTTAAATTTTTTTTTTATCAAAGCCTAAAAAAACACTCATCTTAAATATTGTAAAATGAAATAGTCCATATATTGACTCACCTGGCTGCTTAGCCATCCGGTTTCATCAATCAGTTCTCGGAAGAAGACCCTATTTGTCGGGTAAGATGATGGGATAACTATCTCAATTACGCACGGTTCAACCTCATCATCTTCCTCCACCCATGCCTTGAAGGATTGACATTCTTCATCACTTTGTTGTAGTAGAGCTCGGCTTATGGTGCCTCCAACCTTAGGCCTCTTTGCGGCGGGAGCTATGAAAGGGCTGCAAATGTACTTTGATGGCAACCTCTTTCTCTTCCTCACTTCTTTCATGCTAGCTTCTTCGAGGGCCATCATGTCTACACCGCCGGTTCCAACTTCATCACCAAGGTCCCAATCCAAGTTTGCAAAAGGAGCGTGGGGTGTCAAAGCAGAGTCATCTCCCACCTGCACAAAACATTAAATGCTAGGGATCATATCTACGCACACACAAATAATGTCGGTGAGGAAAAGTTTACTATGCCTGTGCAATTAATTCTAATCTCTGTGTGAAATACATATTGTCTGTGAATAAAAACAAATTTTACAAATGACAATGTGAACCTCATTCAGGGAGATCAAAAGATCTGTGGGAGTTGGACAGTCCCCAGACATGTGTTCTTCATCAGTATCCCCCTTCAACTTTGAAATGACGGAAAACGTATTTTATCCAAAAAAAAAGTCATGTCCAACAAAATTTATAAAACATACAATCGGTATGAATGTATCATTCAACGTACCTCGGCAACAACATTCATTACAGGATCAGTTTGCAGTCCATTTTGTAGTTCACCAACAACAGCATTGGAATTCTCTTCTTTAGCCTAAGCAATTGGTAATCCACACGACAATAAATTTTTTTATGTACTTCTTCAACAACTGCATTTGCAATTTAATACAACCAAAACCCAAAAAATAAGAAAGTTCAAAAACATACCTCAGTTGCGACATGCACAATACGGTCAGTATACATATTATGATCTTCAGGAAGAACAGGACAAGTAAGAATTCTCCCCTTCACCCTAACCATTAGGTGTTTGACAGACATTTATCACTTATACATGGACAAGACGAAATGTGCATAGTCATAATAGATTGCTACATACAGACACTAAAAAGAGCACACAAACAATTACAATTTATACGTTTTCCTCAGACTATCATTCATTTGGAAAGAATAAAACAAAAAACCTTAAGGTAGAAAACTACATACCGCGGTCCCTGCATTCTCAACACCAGGTGTAGACATCCTTTGAACTTCAGCATGTGTTGCACAAACTTCTGTGTCTTCTTCGTGCTGAGTTGGGCCGGATGGATTCCCCTTACAAACCAACAGAATATATATATATATATATATATATATATATATATATATATATATATATATATATATATATATATATATATATATATATATATATAGATAAGAGATCACATACTAACCATGCTTAAAATACTAACTTACTAACTCAATAATATGCAACACATTGAACTTCAATATGCAGTACAAATAATGTAAAGATGCACACTGTGAATTTCAATATGCAATAAAAACAATATGCAAAACTTTGAACTTTAATATGCAGTACAAATAATATGCAACACTTTGAACTTCAATATGCAGTACAAATAATGTAAAGATGCACCGTTTTTGATAGTTTGTAGGTTAGCATGGGAGGAATGGTTAGTATGTGATCTCACCCCTATATATATATATATATATATATATATATATATATATATATATATATATATATATATATATATAGTCAGACTACATACAAACAAAAATGTACTAAATACAGACAAAGCAAATCACTGCACAGACAAGTGATGTTTATACCTTTTCCTTTAAAGCCTTGTTGACGGTATCAATAACCTTAACCAGCAAGTGTTTCAGTTCACCAAGCTCCTCATCCACTTTTTTTTTTCCAACCTTTGAACACTTATTTTTATCTCATCAATATTTGAACACATTTCTTGAACTTTTTCCCTTGTTTCAAGTTCAATATTGTCTTGTTCACCTTCGTCTTCATAATCAGAATTAGGGGGTGTAGGCACCTCCTACGAAAACATGAACATGATTTCATATTATAAATATATACATTAGTGGACAATTATAATGATAAACAAGGAATGATAAAGTAAGAAGACTTACATCAGCAAAGACAAGTTTCCGTATCTTAGATGACCGGAATTTGCCATGACATGTCCAATTTAGTATTGGGACTTCATGATTCCCAACATGTGTGCCAAAGTGTTCCCCAAATTTTGGAATTCTTTCATACGCCCACACCTAAATAATACGTTTAGTGAAAAAAATTATATTCTGGGAAGTACAGAGCATTGTGAAAATATAAAACATTGATACACTTGTAATTTCCGTATGTATGTTTGTGTTTTTAGCTACTTTTGGTTGTTTAATGTTTCGGAAATTACACACTTTTGGTGTAATAGTTTAGTTTGTTAAATCCTTGTAAATTGTTTAGATTAGGATTATTCTGAGCTCAAACAGGTCCATTATCACTCAAAGGATGGTTGGTGAACCCCAAAAGTGGAAAGAAGGTGCAAATCACAAGACAAAGGGAAAAATCCTGATTTTTACCTTTACTCGGTCGAGTATTACCTATACTCGATCGGGTATAAGGTTAAAACTTCAACTCAAATCGGATCCGAAGACAAAGGAACATGCCGGGAAGATTTTGACCACGATTCAATGTCTATACTCGATCGAGTAGACCGACATACTCGATCGAGTATACCTTTGAATTTAAACCCGAAATCGATCGAGTATGGCGCGAATATCACTTTCTACGCATACTCGACCGAGTATGAATATATACTCGATCGAGTACACCTTTGATTTTTAAAGCTGAATCGGTCGAGTATACCTCGAATCTGGCATTTCACACATACTCGATCGGGTACTATGTATATACTCGATCGAGTACTCGAAGTCCCATCCCAAAAGCCTATAAATACACCCTCTTTTCTTCACAATTGATCACCAATTCCTTTATACTCTTAAGCTCAGTTTAGAATAGCATTTCTCTATATTTCTTTTAGCATGTTTAGTCTCCAAATGAGGAGCTAAACTTCCATTTCTTGGTTTTGCTCTTGAAGCTTGATTGATTATTAAAGTTGTGAGTTATTTTCTTACTTTCTCCTCTTGATTGTTAATTCTTCCCTTAATCTCATTCTATATCATTGTTGGAGGGTGGCTAAGTGACGATTAGTTGACGTTCCAACATTGATTACTACTAAAAACGTTCAACGAACCGATGGTTAAACGTTGAAGGTTTCACAAGTAAGTAACTTCGGTTTGTTAATGCACGGTCGTGGTTAATAAACTTAAGAGGGATCAATTTTGTTGGTTAAACCAAAACCGTTGCGTTGAGGTTATCAATCTCAATTGATTTCATCAAGGAGTTAAAGAGATTAAATGCTACTATTATATCGGTATACGGCGTTGTTCTATATTTGATTAATAGTAAGGGTTATTAATGAACGGTCGTTGTTAATAACTACCCTCGATGAACTGGTTATACTCCGCGATTGAGTATTCGAGAGGGGATAAGTTATGGATATAACAATGATCGACTGAAATATATCAACAAGTGGAAAGTAGCAAGACCAAGTCCCTCTTATTCTTGAATTTAATCCCATATAACTTGTTCATCTTCGTGTTTAAATTAATTAAATCACTCAACAAACAAAATCCCCCTTTTATTTACTATATTCATAAAAAGAAAGTTATTCCTTTCCCTGTGGATACGAACTCTACTACGCTATACTACGTATAAGTGCTAGTATCGATTTATTTTGAGTGCACTCACGACAAAGTGCACGTCAAATTTGGCGCCGTTGCCGGGGAAAGACAATTAATTTTTCTTTTTATGGTTCAAAGTATAAAGATTTCTATTTCTACTGAGCTTTGTAGTACATGGTAAAATATCGTTCACTGAACGAAATCACATACTACTCAAACCCCGAAATAGAACGAACTCTCGAGCGGTTGAAAAACAAATTTTCAAACTCCGACTCGGGAGAATCATCAAGTGCTAGTTCTCATTCTAGCGAGACCGAAGAGCCAATCACTATGGCTCATGAAACGAGAACATTGAGGGAGCTCACGGCTCCGAATCTAAATCAACAACCCCTATGTATCACTTTCCCAACTCTTGATACGGGGGTCACATTTGAGCTAAAATCTGGGCTCATTCATCTACTTCCCTCTTTCCATGGCCTACGGGGGGAAGATCCGAACAAACACCTGTCGGAGTTCCATATTGTGTGCACAAGCATGTGCCCCAATGGCGTGTCCGAAGAGCAAATCAAGCTGAGAGCTTTCCCTTTTTTTCTAAAAGACACCGCCAAGGACTGGCTATTCTATCTTCCTTCGGGGAGCATTAATACATGGGCTCAAATGAAAAAGAGCTTCCTCGACAGGTATTATCCCGCATCTATCTCTTCAAGTCTCAAAAAGCAAATCAGCAACATTGAGCAAGCCGATGATGAGACCTTGTACGAATATTGGGAGCGCTTTAAGAAATTATGCGCTAGCTGCCCATATCATGGATATTCGGAACAAGATCTCATCCTCTACTTCTATGATGGGCTTGTTGATCAAGATAGACGCATGGTGAATGCGGCATGTGGAGGGGGTATTGTCAACAAAACCCCTTCTCAAGCAAGAGACCTCATCTCCGAGTTAGCCGAAAACTCGAGGCATTATAATGGGAGGTCATCATCAAAAAGAGTTATGGCAGCGGAATCCAACAATTCGTTGGAAAGTCAAGTGGCCGGCTTGACTTCTTTGGTCAAAGATTTTCTTTTGAATCCAAAAACCCAAGAAGTCAAGGTCTGCGGCATATGCTCAACACAAGGGCATCCCACCGATTCTTGCCCAACACTTCAAGAGGAGAACCCCGAGCAAGTCAATGCTTTGGGTTTCCAAGGTCAAAGAAGATATGACCCTCATGGCAACACTTACAACCCGGGGTGGAGGGATCATCCCAATCTAAGGTACGGAAACTCTCAACCTCCTCAACAATCAAACCCTCCCCCTCAACAATATAAACAACAAGGTCAAACATCGAACTCGAGCATGTCCACCGAAGACATGATTCGATCACTTGCCATGAACATGGCTACGATGCAACAAAGTGTGACCCAATTCCAAGAAACAACCAAATCAAGCATCCACAATTTGGAAAACCAAATGAGTCAAATCTCAAATGCCGTAAGTAGGCTTGAAGCTAAGGATTCGGCAAAACTCCCATCTCAAACTGAGCCGAATCCAAGGCAACAAGCTCACGCGGTCACTTTGAGAAGCGGCAAGGAGTTGGTTATGGCTAAAGCAAAAGCAAAGAGCCATGTTGGGGAAGAAGAGGAGGATATCTTGGTGCCAAGCACAAATCCTCAAAATGAAGAGGAGAAGGAGGAGGAAGTCACACCTCAAAGAAAATTTCCACCGCTCAACTCATACGAGCCGGTACCACCTTTCCCGGAGGCTCTCAAGGACAACCGCAAATACAACAATGACAAACATATCTATGAGACCTTCAGCAAATGTGAGGTAAATATCCCTCTTCTCAATTTGATTAAAGCTGTTCCTAGATTTGCAAAGTTTTTAAAAGAGCTTTGCACAATTAAACGGAAACACAAATTAAATGGAAAGCATAAAATCCAAGTAAGTGAAAGAGTATCGTCCGTTTTTCAAAAGAAATTGCCTAAAAAGTATAGTGACCCGGGAATGTTCACTATACCATGTAAACTTGGAAATTCTAGTTTTTCAAGGGCTATGTTAGATTTGGGTGCATCAATCAATGTCATCCCATATTCTCTATATAAGTCCCTAGAACTAGGCCCTTTACATGAAACAGGGGTTGTTATCCAACTTGCCGATAGATCCAATGCTTACCCGAAAGGTGTAGTAGAGGATGTACTCGTCATGGTGGATAATTTAATTTTTCCCGCTGATTTTTACGTTCTCGAAATGGAGAACGATAAAAATGCAGTCCCTATTTTACTAGGAAGACCCTTTTTAAAAACGGCCAAAGCAAAAAATTGATGTCTTTAGTGGAATACTAACCATGGAGTTCGATGGTGAGAAAGTTGAATTTAATATCTATGACTCCATGAAATATCCCACCGATAATCACTCTCTTTTTGCCATTGATACTTGTGATACTTGGGTCCAAGATGTATTCGAAATTGAGGTAAAAGATGAAATATTAAGCTCAATTGAGAACGATGTAGAGGATTTCACTTTGGAATACTCTATGTCAAATAACA